TGCAGTTTTTTTCTGTGATATATGGTTGCAAGTAGAGTGGTTATTGTCTAAGTTTTCTCTCTGGCTACGCTGCCCATTTCCTGGTCTTTTGGCTAGAGAGAGCAGGCTTTTATTGAGACTTTTTTTGGTTGGTCCCCACTGGCATTTTCAGTTTGGCTGCTCGCTCCTCTGGAACCGAGTCTGGGATATATGAAACAACAAGAAAACGCAGGGAACTCACCAGTGTGAGTTCAGGTCACTGGCGTTCTTAGTCAGTCTGCCGTTTTCTCTGTCTTTCAGAGTCTTATGTTTGTTTTATGTATAATGTGCAAGGTTTTAGCAGGAGCAATAGGGACAAGTGTGTCTACTCCATCTGGGTCCAGAACTAGAAGTCTCATTTTATTTTTTAATTAATGACATTGGCCTTTTGAAGAGTACAAGTCAGTTGTTTTGTAGACTATCCTACATTCTGGATTTGTCTGGTTTTTTTCCCCCTCGTGGTGTCATTTATCTTGTTCCTCTTACACTGGATTAACTGTAAACTGGAAATCAGAATAGAGGCGATCTCAAATATGTTTATCAGGGTAGGCCTCACTGAGAAGGTGATATTTGAGCAAAGACTTGAGGGAGGTGAGGAAGTGAGCCATGCAGAAGAGCATACCAAGCCAGGGAACAGCCAGTGCAAAGGTCCTGGGTAAGGGGTGAACTTGGCTTGTTCAAGGAACAGCAAGGAGGACCAAGTGGCTGGAACAGAGTGAGGGAGGGGGAGAGTATTAAGAGATGAGATCAGAGATTCAGTAGGGGACCAGATTGTGTAGGGCCTGTAAGCTGTTGTAAGGATTTTGGCTTTACTCTGAAAGAGATGGGGAGCCATTGGAGGGCTTTGTGAAAAGAACTGACATGATCTGACTTGGGTTTAGCAGAATGGCTCTGGCTTCTATGTGGAGAATAGGCCGCAGAGGACAAGGGTAGAAACAGTGAGACCAGCCAGGAGGTTACTGCAGTGACCTAGGTGACAGGTGATGGTGTTTTGGACTGTGATCATAGCACTGGAGGTGATGCAAAGTGGTTGCATTCTGGATGTATTTTAAAGGGAGAGGCGGAGTCAATGGGATTTGATGATGAACTGGACATGAGGTGTGGTTCCAAGGTCTTCTAGCCGGAGCTACTAGACAGATGAAATTGCAATCAAGTGAGACGAGAACAGCTTTGGGAGGGGTCTCTTTGGGGGAAACGATCAGGTGTTCAGGTTTGGAAATGTTGATTTTGAGATGTCTGTTAGATATCCAGATGGAGACGAATAGTAAACAGGTTTTGTTATCGAGGTGCTCAGAGTTAGAGAAATGGAAATATGGAAGCAAATTATTACAATAGCTGTTAAAAGTGCTACTCAGAGGGGTGTATAGAAAAGCAAGTTAGCAACTCTACTTGTGGGGGGAGGACGGAAGAGTTTTACAAAGGCGATGCCTTTCATAGTTTGGGCCTAAAGGGTGACTAGGTGTTCATTAGAGAAAAGAGAGCAGTGTCTTGTGTTCTACATTCTTAGACCCTGGCATACAGTGGTTGCTCAATCAGACACAACCTAGTCACTAGTTGTGTGACCTTGGATGTTGTTTTACTTCTGAGTGTCAGTTTATTTATCTGTGAGATGGAAATAATCATAGGGTTTTTGTGAGGATTAAACGTAAAACATTTAACACATTACCTGGTACACAGTGGGATAGGGTTCGTTATTATTGTTAAATGAACAAATGAATGAATATCTCCCTTCATGACCAAGTCTAGGCTAGGCTGGTAAGCCAGGAGCTTAAAGTCTTTTATATGCTCAGCAGTTTGTCAATACAGAGTGCTAGACTCTTTCCGTACATACTAAAAATGGCTCAGGAAAAAAGCCCCCTATCTATATATAGCCTGGGCCCTCTGCACTGCTCTGATTGAGGAATAAGCATTGCTAAGCCTGGAGTGAATGGAGAGGGTCAAACTGCCCTCCCCACACCCCATCCCCATTGACTGGTTGGTTCTCTCCCTGACTTTCCTTCTCTCTCTCTCTCTCTCTCTCTCTCTCTCTCTCATCTTTTCATTTTTAATGAATCTGAGTAAAATCCGTTGAGATTCCTAATGAGCTTCACCCCACTCCACTGGGCTGGGTTGGCTTTGACAACCCTGACATGCTTTGACACTTGGGAAACCCCTCCCCAGAGCTAGAGCCTGAGGTCTCAGGGAGACTGGCGCCCCCTACAGGTCGATGCCCCAGCAGGCGACTGTGGTTGCTAGGCAACAAGGCGGCCTGCTCAGACTGAGGCGACCCGAGGAGTACCGGAAGACATTTGGGAGGAAGACGGAGACCATTTCTCATCCCATCTACTGGCTTTCCGGCGCCCTCAGTGAATTGATGGTGTTGGGGCAGTGCGGCCCGCTGCTATCTGACAATCTGGGCTCATTCTTGAAAGAAGAGCTTCATTGGGTGAGCCCAGTCTTTGTATGTGGAGAAACAATCACCCTTGCCCCAAAGCCACCTGGTTTGATCTGGAAGCTGGAGACCAGGGTCGCTGAGGGCAGAAGTTTCCGGTTTGCAAGTAAGGGGCATTGCTGTGGGTGTGCATCCTCTGTCAATGGGAATTCTAATAAATTGGGCGTGGGTGGGAATCATTTTGGTGATTAGTCCAGTAAGGGATTAAGATTTCCCCACTATTCCCAATGTATAAAGTAGGGAACTCCTACTTTAGCTCATTAAAATAAAAAGGGCCCATAGGAATGGCAATACATAAAGGAGCATGCCTACCTAGGTGGAGACAAGTGTCTCGCTGGCTTTTCTGAATTCGTTTTCTCCACGGAGTAGGGAGAGATCCTGAGGTCTATTGACCCCTGTGAGTAGGGACAGAGCCCAACAAGAGGGAAAAAATAAAAAGAAGAACAGGAGGGTCGTCAACACAGAATCAGGCAGCTTCCTACTGCTGTGTCTGGTTTGGAGCCAGCAAATCCCTGACTCAGTGCACACCCCGTCCCCTCGAGGGCCTTTGGGGGCCAGAAACCCACAGCTTTTCCTCCTAGCATTCTGGCCCAGGAGCCGGGTCTAGGCAGGCCAAGGCCATGACCACAATAACCCCTCCGCTTGGGACTTGTCTCTGCACTCTTCGGTAGTACAACAGGCGCTTCATCGTGGTACAGCCCCAAACCATGGCAAGTTTAGTGGAGAGCTGTGCCCAGGAGTCCATGGTGGGCTTTCCCTTGCTTTCCCTCAAGACTTGCAAGGTACTGGCAGGCAGACAGGTACTGGTCCAGCCACTGCCCCAGTCCACAACACCTGCACAGAGCATGATGGCAGGGGGAGGCTCCTTGTTCCGGTCCTTCCAAACTGAACTGGAGCGGGACTATGCCTCAGCTCTATTAATAGTCCCCTAGCCCAGCCTGCTAGCCCCAAACCCGGATGCTAGGAGCTGTGAGTCAGCAGCTAAAAATAACGGAGAGAAACTGCACCCGAACCCCAATAAGCCGCTCCCCCTGGCCCTCCACCCTCAAGTTTTTGTCCGTCTCAGTCTCCAGTCCAAGGCCTCACAGGGGTTCAGCACGCCATAGCTGTCCAGTCCTACTGGGAAGAGAGGAAGGATTTGCGGTGGCAGGATCAGGGCTGAGTTACCCAAGGCTAGGCGCTAGGGGCTGGGGGCCAGGGGTTAGGGGCTAGGGCTGGGTCCTGGCAGCCTGGTCTGGAGTCTGGAAACTGAGGTCAGAGGACTGCAGCTGAGTGCCTGGGCCTGGACGGTTGAGGAGGCGGGGTGGGGAGGTGGAGACCCTGGAGGTTGTAAGGGTTAGGTCGGAAGAGGCTGCAGAGCTGTGAGGCTGTGCGACTGGAAGGGGACAGAAAAGCAGGGACGGGGAGAGGAGGTACCTGCTGAGAGGTGAGAGCCCGCAGTCCCTGACAGGCTGGGCGCCCCAGAGCTGAGGCCAGCGGTCGGCCTGACTGAGGGGAGGAATCAGGAACCGGCCAAACAAAGGAAATGCAGCCCGAAAAGGCAGTGTATAAAGGAGACCTGTCGGGTACCAGGAGGCGTGGACCCCGAGAAGACCCGGCCCCGGCGCCAGCTGCAGGTTAGGTGTGTCTAGTGCGGATGGCTGCCTGTCTCTCAGCGCAGGGCGGGGGCGGGGCGGTGAGAGAGGAAGGGGCGGAGTTCGGGAGGAGGAAGGGCGGGAACACAAATTCAAACTCGCCTCCGTCAATCGCGATACCGGAGGTGGCCAGGAGCGTCCTGGGAATTGTAGTCCCGGGGGCTGCCCTGAGACCGTGTAGGGGCTTGTGTCCCGGGGTGCTAATGCCTCCCCCCAGGTCCCAGTCTGGCGAGAGGGATGGACTGGAGACCCGAACCTCCTGACCTCGCCGGAGCTTCAATTTGATTTGCCTTCGCGTGGAGACATGAATCGGGGGGAATGTTGGTGTGGTAGGGGACTGAAGAGTCAGTCAGCCACAGAGCCCCCTCCTGTCCCTGTCTTTGCCTTAGCTCCTCCCCCATTTCTACCAGAATCCTCATCCTAGGCCACCCCCGCGCTAGTCATCTGAACTGTTTAGTCCCGGGACTCAGGAGCAGCAAACACACTGGGAACTTGCTCCTCGGGGGGAAGGCAGGCGGGGGAACCAGACCCTGCGCGCAGCCCAGAGAAGCGAAACTTGTGGAAGTCGGACCATGCCTTCAGGATCCGGAGTCAAGGACACAGGTCCCCAACTGGCTGGGGAAACAGGTGGCATCCAGCAAACTCATCACGGTGATGACCTGCGCCGCCCTCCTCTTGGGGCAGGTGACCACCAGGTGGAGCTACAGCGCAACTCTGCGCTGCGCGCCTCAGCCACCCGGACCCCCGGTGGCGGCGGCTCTCCCGCGTCCCTCCTGCAGCCCTTCATTGATTGCCTCAAGTGGTCTCCCTCCCACCTCCAGCCCACGCACCTCCCCGTGACGACCCCTCAGTGTCATCTCACATACAACCCTCGATCGAGGGTGCATCCTCCGTCCAGCCCCAGGGCTGAAAAGATAGACTGTGGCTGCGTAGGAATTAAATTCATTGAGGAAAGGACTAACAGACAAGAAACGCGAACCACCTTGCCTTGAAGAAGAAGGCTGTGCTCAGCGAAAGAGCCACCTGTAAGCTCAGAACTACATGGCTAGATGGGCTGTTTAGGCTCCAGCTCCTAGGCAGGGGAGCAGCTAAATTGCGGGGGGCAGGGGTGACAGTGAATGGAGTGGGGTCGTTGTCTCCATCATCTTACAGTTCTTCAGGAAAGGCTACTTTGTCATCTTCAGTCGCTGTTCCAAGCTGTCCTGTCCCTTCATACCAGTGCCTTCTACACCAGAACACGTGTACAAGTCTGAAACATTATCTTGGTAATCTCCTGTTCTATTTTCATTTCGGGAGAAACTTCTCGTGACTCACTGTCTTCCCAACCACCCACCTCAGGTCAAAAGCTCAACGGCAGCAGATTTCATGAAAGCTGAGGGCATGTCCGTCATCTGGGCAGAGGGCCCCAGAGTTTAAAATTTCCTGTTGGCAGAGTTCACCCCACCCGCACCAACATTCCACCTCTGCCATTCTCCCTGCTGTTGGCCCATGCTGACAGGCCCCAGACTCGGGCTGGTGGGGGCCCAGGGCAGGACATTCACTCCATCATGAAATTGTTGATCCTGGTCAGCAGCACGGCTGCTTCTAAGCCTGGAGAAGGGACGGGGACACATTGGGGGTGAGCAAGGGGAAGGCTAGAGGATGAGAAAAGTGATGTGAAGGGAGAAAGTTCTTACCAGTTCTCTCTCTCTCCCCAGCACATCTCCTGTAGGGAGAAAAGCTTCCCATTGTGAGTTCAGCCAGCTTCAAGCATGACCTTTTGACCCTGGGTTCCCCTAAACTTCTTTTCCCGGTGTCCAAGAAATCTCATAGGAACGAAACAGACCAAACCCCACACCCCAGAACCCTGGGAGAATAAGGATCCAGGAAGCAGGGGCACAAAGCACTAACCCATGGAGGAGGAAGGTCCACAAAAGCACCAGGATGGAGACACAGTCGGTGACCAGCCACATCATTAGGTAGGTTTGAGGTGGCTGTGGGAATAGGAATAGGCCCCTTTCAGTGGCCAGAGCCCAATTATGAAGGGGGAACAAGTAAAGAAGAGAGGGACAGGTTATGGAGAAGCAGGGATGGGCGAAGAGGAGGAGGGAGTGATAGTGTTGGAGCCCTTACAATAAGCCAGACGGGGTTACGCATCTGCTGTAGCAGCTGGCAGTCGTTGGTGGTGACAGAATCCACACCTGCACACCAGAGTAGGGAGAAGAGCCAGGCTTTGTTCACTACAAATAGGTTCACCGACACATTATCCTGGTGCAGTGCCCTGTGCAGGTGGGGAATAAACAGGGAACATCCAGAATCGTGGGGTACAAGGCACAGGAGGCAGCCCCCGTCTCTGCTTGACACTGCAGTGTCGCGGCCCAGGCACTACCATTTGCACCTTCAGTAGCAGCCCCTGACCAAGTGATTTTCTCTGCATGGCTGAACTCTGTCTTCCGGTGGATTCCACCTGTGGGTCCTAGCTTCGCTGCCTGGGGCCACACAAATGCGCCTCTCCTTTGTCCCATGATAGCCCTTCAAAGGTCTGAGGAACAGAGACCACGTCCCCCTGAGCCTTCTCCTCTGTGGGCCCCACAGCCCTGATTCCTTCAACTGGGGCTCGGAACCTGGCTTATCATCCAAACCCCTGCACTCTGGCTTTACTCTGCGTTATCAAATGTTTCTTTGGAAGTATGGGGTCTGCGTGTGCACCTGACACCCAGGTGGGCTTGGAGCAGCTCTGAGTGGCCTTCCGGGCACTGTGCCTGTGTGAAGGCAGCCTGGGTTCAGGTTAGCTTTGGCAGTGTCATGTGCTGCCAAAGACTCATTATTCATTATGCACAACTATTCAAATTAGAGCCCTGCTCTTTTTCACATGTCCCTGCTGATGCGGGTGTGTCCTCTCTTATCGATACACAACTGAGCGTCTTTTGGACCCCAAATATAGGTCTTTACATCTGTCTCTGTCGCATTTCATCTTGGTACGTTTGGCCTATCATCTCAGTGCTTAGACCTTCAGGGCCTCCATTTTATCATCAGTGTATTCATTCCCAAGTCACGTCTTTTGGAAATGTGATCAACACTTGATGTTGACCAGGACAAGACTAAGGTGAGGGCCAAACCCAAGGTTGTGCCTCCTTCCATGGTGACAAGTTGGGGAAAGGTCCTTGAAATATTTATGATACCTGGGCTGTCATTCAGTGCCCACTTTTCTCTATCTGACCACGAGGACATTGGAAGTGGCCTTGGCAACTGCATGATTTACGGTCCATTCTGTTTATTGGCTGGCTCAGCTTTTGGGGCCCAGCTCACGCCTGCAACTCTGTCGCCTCTCTGTCCTGGATCAATCCTCTGGCATTCACCTCTTTGGTGTAGAGTCAGAGCTAACATCCTTCTCGTGGCCTACAAGGTCCTACCCAGTTTGGCCGCTGCCTACCTCTCCAGCCTCACCTCCCCCTTGCTCATGAGGCTGCAGCCCCGGCTCATCTGCAGCTGTTCTCATTGTTGACGCTTGTGATCCATCCGGTCTCAGCCCAGACACCACCTGTTTAACCACTCTTCCTAATGTGGCCCCTGCAGAGCCCCTCACTCCCAACTCCAATTTCTCTACTGCATCTCCCCATTTTATTGTCTTCCTGTCACTTATTGGTATCCAATATGCATGTGTCTTGTTCAGTAGTTTATTGTCTCTCTCTTTCACTTGTATGCCCAGAGCCTACAACAAATAGTGCCTAGCACATAGCAAGTGTTTGATAAACGTTTGTCATATGAGTGAATGAATGAATGAATGGCCTTGGCCCTCCCTGCATTGGCTCTTCCCACCAGTAAGCCTCATGTGACCCCCTCAGCTCCTTTCCTTTGGCACTCACTTGATATCCAACAGTGGCAGGTCTTGATAGGGGAGGTTGAGAAACTGGGGCCTCTCAGTTGTGTCGCCTCCCTGCTGTCCATATATCTGACGCATTCTGGGTGCCCGCTGTTGGACATGAGCCCGGTCTTCATCTGGGAGCCAAAGGACCTGTGGTTCAGGGAGGATGAGCGTGAAGCTGGGGAAAGTTTGACCACAGAATGGTGTATATGAGCTGGGGCAGGGCCCTGGGCCAGGGGCAGCTCAGGATTATCACCATGGCCTAGGGGAGGCGGAGGGTGATGTGAGGGGCAAGAGGGGCACTTGGGGTCTTGGCAACATCACCATGGCTTGAGGCACCCTTGAACTCAGCACAGTCTCCAATGTCTGATTCACAAAAGTGTCATAGTATGTGTGGTTTCGCGGGGGGCGGCGTAAGTCAAACATGATAGAAAGGTTCAGGAGTGCAGCTTCCTTCAATAGCTCTTCCAGCATTGGTACTGTCTGAGTCTCGGCTTCCTTCCGATCATGGCCCGACAGCGGCTTGGCTCCCCAGAAGGGTCGCCTCTATGAAATTAGGGAAATTACTTCAGGACCAGAAGAAGCCTGCAGGCCATTCCCCCATCCTCACCATCTTTACTCATCCCTCACTCGATGTCCAGCTTCTTACCCACGCCTGAGCCAACTCTCCCTTTCTCCAAACTGGGCCCTTTTCCAGACCCTCTAACACCTTACTCTGCGACCCCAACCTCCTACCCTCGCAGTTTCCTAACTGTCTCTCTCCCACTGTACTTTCTCTTTGGTTTCACGGAGACCTCTGGGATTTTCATGCCTTGGTTTCCTCCCAATCCATCACAGCTTTGTGGCTGCGCCTACATCGCCTACGCACGGTCCATCCACAGCTTGAACTACATTTTCACAGTGTGCTCATCAGCTTTCCTGCCCAAGCTGCCCTCCAGATCCCTAACTCTGATTCCATTCTACAACTCCGGCCTCCTGCACCCCTAGTGGGTGCGGCACACCGTGTGGTCCTGTTTTTCCATCTAGGGTGGCTTAGCCATCCTTTCACTTGTTTCTGATTGGCTCCCTCTCCCATTGCTTCTAGAGGCTATTGCAAACCTCTGCCACTGTCTTCTCCCCTCACCCCCGCTTGTAATTGTCCTAATCACTGATGTGGAAAAAGCGAGCTACCTAACATGTATTAAGTATTTACTGTGTACCAGGCAATGTTAGAAATACTGTATATGTATTAATTTATTTAATCCTCTCCAAATCCTTCACGGTACTGTTACTATTCCCATTTCACAGATGAGGAGCATTAAGCCCAGAGTCTGGGCTCACACGACTAGGAAGTAGAGAAACCAGGATTCGAACCCAGACATCCCTTGATCTTAACAGTTTGATGTGTCATTAGATAGAGAGATAAATGGAGAAAAAGTAAGCTGCAACAGAATATGTGAAGTTTTTCTGTGTGCAAAATGAAAAAAATATGTACACTCATAGATGTATATGTGTGGGTGCATATGTATGCATGTATGTACACAGATGCACGTATGGACTATGGACCCAACTGTTAACAATGAATGTCTCAGAAGGGTTGGATTATGAGAGGCTTTTCAATTTGGAAATGATTGCTCTGATGTTTTACTTTTTGACACAGAGCATGTATCCCTCTGAGACAGAGCCTCTGGTTGCCTCGCCAGTCCCACCTCCTGCTACGCCCATGCATTTCACCCCTCGCCCAGTGCCATGGAGCCCTGCTCTTGCGTCCTCTCCTGTGAAACCAGTCCTGACCTCTCCCACACCCATCCCGCCAAGCAGTGACCTCTCTCTCCTATCCAGTAACGACACTGCTGTTGCGCTGGGTTTCATGTTCTGGCAGCAGAGACCATAGACCTATTGCCCAGCACAGGGTTCAGCAAATGTTTATCAGTGAGTGAACTCTGTCCTGCGTGCCCCTGCAGGGGACTGTCCTCACCTCCAGGAACCAGGCTCCGGCATTGAGTCTCTTCAGTTCAGCCCAGGAAAAGTCACTGCTGTGGTCGGTGATTCGGGCTGGGAACACAGAGGCCACATCTGTGGTCCTGCTCAGGTGCTCGTCGTGCATGAGGAAGGGAATCCCGTCGGAGCTGAGGGCACAAGGGCTGTCAGAGGCCTGAGCTCTGGGGCTGCTCTTCGTTTCCGGAGCTGCCCTCTGTGCCTCTCAGGGCCTAGCTTCCCTCACCTGACCATTACATCGGTCTCGAACACAGTAGCTCCACACTCAGCTGTCTTCCTCAGGGACATCAGGGTGTTCTCGGGGGCCAGCTGTGGGAGGGAGCCGGTGAAGAGGTCGTAGGGAAGGGTGGGAGCCAGCAAACCCACGGGCTGGCCACTGCAGACCCTCCCCGCCTTGCCAACATTCTGCCCAACACTCACCATGGGGGCCCCTCGGTGTCCCACCAGCCCAGGCTTGGGGGGTAAGTCTCTGGGTTCCATGAGACAGGGTGAAGAGATGCACAGGGGGGCCAGGTAGATGGCCAGGGCAGCTCCCAAAAATAGGAACAGTAGCAGAATCTTGGGACCTGTGGGAGTGGGGAACAGGCTGTGGAGAAAGGGCAGCAGGCGAGCGCCGCGCCAGGGGCAGGCAGCAGAGAGCAGTGCAGGAAAGCAGGCAGCAGGCGGCAGACACGTGAGTGGTCAGTGGGGGGATGGGGCGGAGACGGCACCTGTCCGGCGGATATGGTAGAAGGTATGAGCCACAGGCCAGGCCAGGAGGGTGATGCCAGCAGCTGCTCCGATGTGAATGAAGGGGGCTGTGGCCTGCGGGTGAGAGCTGGTGAGGAGGGCGCTTGTCCCTAGCGCCCCTGCTTTTCTCCTCTGAGGACCTTTGGAGCTCAGAGCTACTTGCAGTCTTGGGGGGCCAGAGAGCAAGATCTGCACTGGGGTTGGCCGCTCACCTGCAGTGACAGACGTAAGCTACGCCACTCCTGCCGCCATTGGACGTCCATTCCCACAAGGCCAGTGGCCACAAGAAGCATAACGAGGAGCAGCAGCACCTACGGGGGTGCCCATCTCGCTACAAAACAGGGCCATGGCCTTCCCCAGGCCCCTCCACATCCTCCTTTCCCTCAGCAGGTATTGAGTGGCCTTCGTTCGGGTCCTGAGTTTGAGCCCGGGGATGGCATAGTGACCTCACTATATAGTGCTGGGCCTGGTGGCCCCTGTCCTGCTCCTCCCTGTCCCATCCCCACTCTACCTTGTGGATGGTGTGCAGATGCAGTGGCTGGCCACAGAGCCGCAGGAGTAGGGCCAGGAGCTGGGGACAGAGGGCGCCATCAGGGGTCTCTCAGGCGGGCTTCCCAGGTTGATGACCCCTCCTGCCGTCCCCCCAGTGGCCAGGGTGAGAAGGAAAGGGTAGGGCTGAGCAGGAAGGAAGGGCCGAGGTGGGGCTTAAGGCCAGTGGCCCGTGGACCCACCAATAGCAGGGATGCATATGTGACCAGGAGAGAGATGACCAGCACGAATGCCAGGGACCAGTCCATCCAGCGTCCCCACTGGCGGAACAGGAATCTGGGGCACGGGAGAGGGAGGTGTCCAAGTGCCGGAAGGGGTGTTAGCAGTGGCCTGAGGGGAGGTGGTGTGGGTGGACCCAGAAGGGAGTGAGGGACAACCCTCCACGGGGCCAGGGGCTCCAAGGACTGGGGAGGAGGGGTAACGGGAGAGCTGGCCAGGGCTGGGGATGACGGAGCAACCAGGGGTCCCTGGGCGTGTCTGCTGGCGAGAGGGTCCCATGACACACTCATTGAAGTTGTGCAGGTCATTGAGAAGGATGAGCCCGATGTACAGCCAGCCCAGGGAGAGGAGGAAGGTGAGGAACAGCAGGCCAAACCAAACACAGTCGCACTGCAAAGGGGCAGGAGAGAAGCTCACAGCCGATCCGCACTTCCAGCTCAGAGCCCCCAAGCTCAAGGGGGTTTCCTGCCAGGTGCTGGGCTGCTCTGCTGCAGAGGCAGCTCTTGCCATATTGCAGAGGGGGTTTCTTCCTGGGAAGAGAAAGCCCCTTCCCCCCAGCTGCCTTGGAGCACATGTGGCCTCATTCTCCCCTCCAAGTGGCCTCTGCCTTGGACTTCCGGCCCCCCATCATCCCTACTCCACCTTGCTGGTTCGCATCCTCTCTTTGGGGCATTTCCTCCAGTGGCAGCTATACAGGCAGTGGAGGCAGCGGGCCCAGGCGGAGCAGCAGCCGGGGGATTCGGCCATGGTGAGGGCCTGGGGGAAGGGACACTCGGCCATCAGGGACCCTTGCAGAAGGTAGATCGTAGCCTTCCTCCCAGTGTATGTGGGGAGCCCAGGGGAGGGGCAGAGGTCTGGGCTGCTGCCCAGCAACGGAAGTCACGAGGCAGGCCCCGCGTGCCAGGCTGGATGAGAAGGGGAGCAGAAGGGGACAGTCTCCAGGGTCGTTGTTTCCCTTTAATCTGGATACCTGGACAGTCAGCGGGAAACCTGGGAGGTCCAGGCTCTTTGCAGGCAGGATGCACACCGACTGTCTACACCTCCCGGTTTAAAAGCATCCAGCTCTGGGGATGGAGTGCTTGCCCAGGGTGGGGATTCAGGAGGAGGTGCCCAGGGGTGGGGCAAACTCAGTTCAGCAAGTTGAGGCAGATCTGGCCGCACTTCAGGCAGCCCCTTCTGGAGCCTTCCACCCCAGAAGCCAGGAGTAACCTGAAGCAAAAGTTCCAGTTCTGACCTGGGGCTAAGGAAGGCCAAGCTAGTTGGCCAGTTGCTATGGATACAGAGATCGCACACATCACAAAGCTGTGACTGAAAGATCTTGTCTCCACCTCCCAGGAGGCAGGGGGCAGGGCCAAGAAGAGGAAGACTTGAGGGGCACAGTCTTCTGAAGAGACCCTTTTCCTGTCCGGACACAACTGGAAAAGCCAAAGCCCTCGTGCCCTACTCCCATCTTTCCGGCCCAGTCACCCCCCCACCCCAGCCAGGAACCCAGTCTCCACCTTCCCCGTTTCAGGGGCCCCACCCTCTGAGGTCACTTAGGTGAAAGTACAACAAATACAGGGCAAAGTTGTGTGTGGGGTGGCTGTCTTGGGGCAGAGGACCCAGTGCTGTGTGCTCTGGGGCCAGACTGAGCTGGCTTGCTGATCCCCAAACTCAGCTGGGCCTATGATGGTGATTCTACAGGAGGGGGTGCGATCCGTGTCAGCATTTGTACATGTGCATGCACGAGTGGCTGGCAGTACAAATGGGTTTTCAGATGACTTTGAGTGTGGAAAGGGCTCCTGGGTGCACCCACAGTGTATCCTGTGTGTGGCCTAAGGGGCACGACCACTAGTCCTCTGGGCTCCCCCGAGGTTGTGCAGTTTTAGCGGGGCACACGGTGTCTGGGCCCCTGAAAGGAGGGAGGGTGTGGCTGCTCCCCAAACTCCCCTCCTTCCCCTGTGCTTGCCTTGGGTTAGGGTAGGACGCGGAGGAGTGGGGAACTTGTGGAAGGAAGCCTTCCCCTGCCCGAAGCCCCCTCCCAGGAGAAGTCCAGTCCAGAGGGAGGCCCTGCTTCTCCCCATCACCCCGGACTGGGTTGCAGCAGCCTGGCCAGGACGACGTCCACACCCCCGCCTCCCCGCAGCTCCTGCCCCTGGACCTCAGGCACTACCTGCCAGAGTCCCACCTCCCTCCAGGAGCTGTCTGGAGGATGGGGTCAACTCTGAGCAGCCTGCAAAGCCCAGTCAGGGGTGCTGGCAGGGGTACTGTCCAGTCCCTGGGCCCCATCCCTGCCGGTGGGAGCCGGTCTCCAACCCCCCGCCCCGCCTGGAGCCCCCAGCCTTCCCTCACACCTTTTCTCAGCGGCAGTCTGCTCTCTGCTCTGCACTGCTCTGCTTCCCAGCTCTGCTCCGACTTGTTTGCCTCCTCCCTTCGCTCAGCCCCACCGGTCAAACAGGTGGCACTGTTGCCACCTACAGGAGGCTGCGTGGGTCCTCTCCGAAGGCCTGCAGCTGCTCTCTGGCCAGTGCCCAGCCAGGGCGGGAAGATGGGAGGGAGGAAGGGGGAGGGAGAGCAGATCTGTGTCTTTACTCGCTGCCGGTCCGGGGGCTTGGGGTGAGGAATTCCTTTGTGCAGCCTTCCCCATCCCTCTGTCCCTCCTCCTGCTCCCCTCTCAGTCACTGCTTGGGCTTTGTCCTGGCTCAGGGAGGCAAGGGCTGAGGGCAGGCACAGGGTGGGTGGGAAGCTGGGGGGAGGTGACCACGCAACATTGCAACTTGGCAGCAAGAAGAAGGGGCCCAGCCAGCCCCCTGGGAGAGGGTGTGTGTGTGTGAGGGAGTCCAGCATCGAGCCTCAAGCTTCCTGGGAGGAGGCCTTGGTTCACCAGCCCCCCTGCCCTCTTGGGTCCACTTCCATTTCTGCAAGGTGCGCTGACAAGAGACAGAGCTGTGAGCTGCTTCCTGTTCCTGGGCCAGGGGTCCCCATGGGCCTTGTGGATCTTGGGTGACACTAGCATCCCCCTCCTTTGCCCCACCCCCAACCCCCATCACCCCAGACAGGAGATGCTCAGCCAGGATGAGCTGAAACTTGTGTCATTCCTGTGCCTTGTCTCCAAGGCACCTGAAGTCTCCTTCCAAGAATGACTTGAGGAGGGCACGGTATTTATTAGGGTTACAGGCTTTTGGAAGATAAACACATTGTCGATATAAGAAATGTCCAGACCTGTACAGAATTTTTAGGAGTTCATTTGAGGGAAACTGATGACAATCACCAGGAAGCGAAATCTCAAGGGATTGAGAAAATGCTGCAGAGAATGGCAGTTTTGCAGCTTCTTTTATACATTAGCATCAAAGGAGGAGCCGTAAGGGGGGTTACATGGAATCCATTGGTGGGAGGTTAAGGGGGTGGGAGAAGGCAAAGTTGGGAAATCTCTGGGATTGGGTAAGAAGTAACACAGCGAGACATATTTCTTTCTCAGGGGTGGGGCCAGGATAGTTAACATTTATGCACACAGCGATGGTATGCTGGGGACAAGATAACAATGTGGTCTCATGCTCTGGTGAGGTGGGTTGTGCCCTGAGGGGTCTGGAAAAGATTACCCTGACCTTTCAAAGGTATGCTATCTTAGATGCACAAAGACAGCAGATTGGCTCACTTAAGGTAAACATTGACCTTTGTCAAGAAAGCTAGAGGCCTAGGACGTGACTGCCACCATGACCCGCTTTAGTTAAGAATGTTTATGTTCAGGCCACCCTGTGTGGTTACATTATGTCTCTGAGTTTGTAGGCCCATCATGCTGGCCTCCCATGATCTCTGTCAGGTTTGGTAGGTGCCCCCCCCTTCTGTCGGCAGCATAAAAAGATGCTGTTCCTCCCCATCAGCAGATAAGGGCTGGGTGCACAGGGACTGGGGGTTGCCTTGACTGACCTCCCCTCTCTGCCTTTTGGCTGATGTGGTGGCTCAAAGCCTGGAGGCTAGCACAGTGTTGGTGGGAAAGGAGGCCTTCTCTGGGGATAAGCTTGTTTACCCCTCCCCCACACACACTGAGTTTGGACCAGAGAGAAGGAAGACTGGCTCTCTTATGCCAAGAGACAGCCCCCCTCTCTGCCTTCCCATTGTATCCAGGGGCTGTACTTGGCAGTGGCAGAGACTCCCTTGCTCCCTAGGCATTAAAATGCAAAGAGAAGCAGGACTGCTTACTGGCGGGAGGCCAGCGAGGGGCGGGAGGCACCTCGTCCTCCTGCAGCCTGGCTTTGCGTGGCTCTGGTGGATTCTAGAGGAGTCTTGGCTCTCAAGTGTCGAGTTCTGGGGGTGCTCTGAGAGTTTTTTAAGGGGAGCTGGGATTGAGAATGCATGGACCGGAGGCCCAGGGCTTGCAAAGTCCTCAGAAGACTGCACGGCCAGTTGGCAAGCTGTGATTGGCATTCCAGGGCCTGGCCCCCCTTTGAGAACTCTGGTGCGCAGTAAGCCTGGGCCCTTGGCTCCATGACAGGACAGCCACTGCTGTGGCGCTACTTACCCAGCTTTGGTGTGAGACCTGGCTTCACGTCCTAGCTCTATTAGTCACTGACTTTGTGACTGTCGCTAAGTTACTTCACTTCTTTGTATGTCAGTTTCCTCATCTGCAAAATAAGGACACCTATGCATCTGGAGTGTTTGTGAGGAGCGAGTACGTGTGGCAGATGCGTGCAAGTGCTTAGTAAATCTGGTCCCTTCCTCCCAGGTCTGCACACCGTGCTGCTGGCCTTGATAGTGTTACTCCAATTTCCTAAGGTAGGAGAGCAACGCAGGACAGGACTTGGCACCCCACACTCCCTTTGGGGGAAGGGGCCCCCTACAAGGCAGTGAGGCTGATGATGTGTTTCTCCCCAGAGCACAGAACCATCTTTTCAAACAGTAGATGGACTAAAGCTAAATCATTTATTTACGTAACATGAACATTTTAAAAGATTCCATTTCCTAAGCCAGGGTCTGCCACTAAGTGGAGACAACATAGACACGAGACATGTGGGCCTCAGTTGCACTGGGAGACAACTTGAGCTGCACACGAATCAGAAAGAGCTAGACGGTAAGGGACTGGTTCCTGAGGAGCCAGCAGGAAGGTCTCAGTTGCTTCTCTCTTCGGCAGGTAGCTTAGCACCCTTCTGGAGAAGAGAGCAGTAGTCTGGGGCCCGAGGGCTGGAGACTCAGGGCAACATCCAACAAAGGTTCCTTTCCTTTTAGAAACGTGCTGTCCCTTTTGTCAACAGCAAGAAACCTGAAATCTAGAGGACTCATTCAGAAACCCCTTCTGGCTGCAGGCCGAAAGCCTGTCCCCAGCCAAACTGGGGGAGATGACGAGGCCAAGTTCAGTGGGCCTCCTCTTCAATAGGGGAGCAGCCAGAGAAGAAGCTGATGTTGCTGGCCAGAGCACGTTTCTTTTTCTTCCCTGGAGCTTTATTTTCTTGAGATTCTGTCGCGACACATTTCAACTCGAAGGGGCCAAGGGGGGAGGCAGCCAGAGCGGTCGGCTTTGACAGCGTTTGCTCCACGTCACACATTTCTCTGAGGATCTAGGAAGAACAGAGGCAGGTATGACTGTCTCAGCACGCTACCCGTGGTGTGAGGTGTCCCCTGTGCCCACTGCCAGCTCCCAACAAGCAGAACGCCCCTCCGCCCGCTCTCTGTCAAAGCTGATGCAGCCATGGATGCTGAAAGAGTTGGAAATGCCAGCTCTCTAGCCCACCCACCTACCTTGCTGTTGGGAGTGGCACAGACAGGGTTGAAGAAGCTCAGTCCTGGGGTTACCTCTGTGGGATCCTCCAGTTGGAAGGAGCCTTCAGAATCCTGGGTCCGCTCAACAGTGCCTGAGCTATCCTGAGAAGCAAACAGACAGGCTGTTAGAAGTTCAGCTCCCAGGCTCACAGCGTCAGTCTGCTCCCTTCGGCCAGTCGAAGCAAGTCTTAGGGAGACACTGCTTAGGGACGGGGGGGGGGCACACTGCTTGACGGCAGCTTCTGAAGGCAAAGGACTAGGTAGCATAGTGGCACAGGACACATGACCCAGCCACGGTCATTTCTTTGATTGATTTTCTCCCCGCCTCAATCTGCAATGGGTTTTTTTAGCATCTCTACAGTGTGTTGTCTGTATTAGAAGAAAACATAGGCCGAGGAAGACAAGTTACTTAGGTAGCAAGGTGACTCCTGGTAGAGTTTGGATTAGAATGATAACCTGTTGTCATGGAAACAGAAGTGGATTAAAAGTCAGGAAGCCTGAGGTCTAATCTTAGCTGCCATACCAGCTGTGTAATATCAGGTGAGTCACTTAAGCTTACCTCTGGGCCTTACTCTCCTTCTCAGTAAAGTGGAAGCATTGGACTAAATCGCTGGGTTTTACAACTGAAATCCTATGAGGAAGCCCAGTATGTAAACAGGTAGACAGCAAGCTGCTTTGGCTGACGGGGGAGGGGGCCATGTACCTCTGCTTGGAGGCATTTCTATGGAGCCGCCATAGAACTGTAGAATCCACACGGAAAAAAACCACAGGAATAGACTCCCAAGTTCCCTGTTGCTTCTACAATTCTTAGCCTAATCTCCAGCTTGTCATTTTAGTCACCTAATGACACCTACTTTAGAAGTCTTTTTAATAGTGTTCCCTTGTAGAAGTTTCCAGACATGCGTGATGAATGAGCATTAGGCAAGGCCGGCTAAAATGAGTCTTTAGCACAGAGAGTGCTAGGAACATGCATTCGCCATGGGCGCAGCAAGTGGACCTGATGAGCTTGGTGCTGCCCTGAACCAATCCTGGGAGCGCTCTAAGGGGACAGCTACGGTTCACTTGGCTCGCCACAGTGACTATTAGGAAGAGGTGGTGCCCATGGATAGGGGCTAAGGAACTAGTGTCTCAAGAGGTCGGAAAGGTTAACTTCCTTCCCGGAAGCTGCCAGCTGAGCACATGGCCCTTACAGTCCCAGCTAAGCCTCTGGATTCGTCTGACCCTGACTGCTTTCCTGTTCTTCGTTCCTGCCTCCGAAACTGTACAGAAACTTTAGAGCAGCGGTTCTCAACCTTCCTAATGCCGTGACCCCTTAATACAGTTCCTCATGTTGTGGTGACCCCCAACCCATAAAATTATTTTCGTTGCTACTCTATAACTGTCATTTTGCTACTGTTATGAATCGTAATGTAAATATCTTTTTGTTTTCCGATGGTCTTAGGCAACCCCTGTGAAAGGGTCGTTCAACCCCCAAAGTGGTCGCAACCCACAGGTTGAGAACCGCTGCTCTAGAGCCAGGGCTGGGACTCTCCTGGGAGGAGCTGTGTTCTGAAGGGGTGTGTGGACTGGCTAGCCGCGAGGAAGAAGGACTGGGAAGAGAAACATGTCTTGTTCTGCTCACAGAGGGAAGAAGGGCAGGATGAGCTGTGCAGGACAACGCAGGTTTCAGGATGGAAGCAAGAAGAAAAAGGTGGGAGGTGTGAAGGGATGTTGAGGGCCGCAGTGCCCATCCTACCTTGCATTGCTGACGA